ATGGTTAGACAAAGTAGACAAGTCTTGCTTACCTGGTCGATACAAGGCATGGATTTATCAGCATGTTATCCTGCACAAGATATTGTGGCCATTGACCGTCTACGAGTTCACTACTTCTTCCATAGAACAGATAGAAAAAAAGATTAACACTCGTTTATGGAGATGGCTAGGTCTACCAAAGTGCCTCCGCAGCACTGCCCTTTACGGTAATTCTATTACTCTTCAACTGCCATTTAAAAGCCTTGTAGAAGAAAACAAAGTTGCTAAAGTGCAAACTGTAATACAATATAAGGATCCAAAAGTGGCAGGATCCAAAAGTGGCAGGAGCCAAATATTGAAGTCTACACTGTGACGAAATGGAACATGGTAAAGGAGTTGAAATTGGCAGAAGAGCGTCTTCATGAAAAAGTAGTACTGGGTAGTGTTGCCACTGGTTGTGCAGGGCTTGGTTTTTTCCCCCACAGTTAGAATTTGCAAAGCCGTAGGCAAAGAAAAACATCGACTCTTACTGGACAAAATTCGTGCAGGGGAAGAGGAAATGAGAGTAGCAAAAATGAATGGTTTAAAACAACAAGGAGTGTGGATAAAATGGGAAACAATGATTCATAGAAAAGTTAGATGGTCTGAACTATGGTGCAACGAAATAGGCATGAACTTTCTAATCCAAGCAGTTTACAACCTTCTCCCAAGTCCAGTAACCTAAAACTATGAACTAAATTGGAATCGCCCTTATGCCCCTTATGTGGTCAATTAGGGCCAATAGCTGCAAATCAGCACTGGCTGATGGTAGGTACAGATGGCACCATAATCAGATATTAAAAGACATAGCAGAAGTCGTTAATACATCCATCCATACAAACACATTTAATTCAAACAGGAAATGTTATAAATTTTATTTATTAAAGTCAGCGTGAAACTTGACCTAAAGAAAATGATTGTACCCAATTGTCTGTTGTGTGCAACAGACTGGGAACTTAGAGTAGATATAGGCAAAAGATTAAACTTCCTGGATCACATCTTGAAGAGTCTATTGCTTCCAGGCTTAGTCCACTTTTCAAATAAGTTAAAGAAAATCCTTATGTGGGAATTATTAACGGTCTGTTATGAGGACAATGCAGAAGAAGCAAACGAACGGGAAAAACTTAGATACGACGAATTACTGGAAAACTGTAGGAGCAATGGATGAAAGGCAAGCTGCAAGCCAACTGAAGTAGGCACAAGGAGTTTTGTAGCAAAATCTCTAGTCAACGCACCTAACAGATATTGTGATAGTGGGAACAAAAAGATGAAAGGCTATCCAAACTATTACTGAGACAGCATAAAAAAAAGCTAAATGGTTTTGGCTAAAACGAGCCAGTGCATGGACAAGTAATCAGGGAAAAAATGTCCAAGTTCGAGATAGATGGAAGCAACATGTTTTTTTGGGGGGTGGGGGTTGTAAATTATTTTATGCAGTGTAATTTTATAAATCTTTAATTGTATACTATTTTAATGTAAATAGATATGTCACAGCTTATAACTAATTATAAATGCCGTATTTAGTTTGTAAATATATATAGTCAGAAAATAGTTGTAGTTTTTTTTTGTACATCTCCCAATTTTAACTTATTTATCTAACTAATCTATTTTATCTTTAGTCATTCATTATGATTATTCTTATTTTTTATAGTCTTTTTTTTTCTTACTTGTTGCTCAAATGTTGGTAGGGATATATTGCATATTAACTGTGATTTCGATATGTTAGCATCTAGAATAAAGACACATCATAAAGTTCAAAAAGGGGTCAATTTTTTTTTTTTTGAGAGTCCCCCCCACACTTTCGTTCTTTATTGCTCAAAGTCTTTTGACTTCCATTTTATCTCTTTTTCCTTTTCTGTCACCAACTATGGGTTTATATGTGAATTAATAATTATTTGTGACTAATTCTTGTTAAACAACTTATTTAGGAACATTATTCACCACTCTTTCCCCCCCTTTTTTTTTTTGCGTAACTATCAAAATCGTAAATTTAATTTTATTTGTTAATTGACAGATTTAATCGAATATTCTAAGTTTACTCATTCAACTTGTTTTAAATGACATTTATTTATATATTTATTTTTGTTTTAACACACTGCATGTCGTAATTTATTTATTTTAATCATAAAAACAATGTAAATTTCTAATTATTTTAAGGTTTCATTTTTTTATTTCTTATTTTATTGTTTTAGTTTTTTTTTTTCTTTACTAACAGTAATTATCAGTTGGGTAGATGAAACTTGAAAAAAGTAAAAAAGAAAAAAAATATCAGAAAACACATAATTACTTATCCGACGAGTATCCACATAAAAAAAGAAAAAGTAAAAAATCCGACGTAAACAACTTAAATAGAGCTCACACCATTGCGATTGGCTGTTGGTCAACTTCCAATCAAATGCATGACAGAGGGGTATGGTTTGCCTAATATGTCAGTGTCTGCAGGCTGTTAATTTTGATGGGGAGGGGTGCGCATCAGAGACTGATCAGCTCTGATGGGGTCGACTTGGTGAGGGGAGTATGATGTTTGAAAGACCCGAAACTGCCCAATGACCCAATTCAGAACATCATTGATGATGCCCTCTAGTGCTAAAGAGCATATATTCAAAGTAAAAGTGAATATACATAATATCCAACATCGATATTCAGAGATTCTGCAATCTTCTGGTGCTGAATACGATCATGCTAGCAACTTGGATATTATGCATATTCACTAATATATATATATATATATATATATATGAATAAAAAGAAAAAATATAGATTTAAAAAATATATAGATAAGAATAAAAAAAATGAATATTTTCCCCTCATCTTACCTTTCCTGGAAGAATTACTACTTTCCAAAACCAACATACAAATATGTTGAAAAATAAAAATAAAATGGTTAAATCCATCACTTTAGCTCTTGAAGATGTACAAACATTCATCTCATACCATAACATTCTAATCAAAATGAAAAAAATATTCGTTAAAAAAAATTATTGAATATTACTCGCTCAATTTACTTTTCACCAGAATTTGAATTATGACGCTTTGTGTCCTCTACATGTTTTGACTGACCTTTCAACCATGTGATAAACATTCATGAATGTTCTCAAATTTAAAAGCCTTGATAAATGAATGACATCCTTGCCTCTGTGTATATAAACACATGCAGCATAATAAATCCTACATTGCCTTGATAAAGTTCCACAGAGGACAAAATGTGTTGGTCAAATATAGTTTTTTCTCTTATCTCTTTTTATTCATTTTGTCTCTTCTACAGATATACTCTATCTGAGAATATTTACACACACATGCACACACACACACACACACACATATATATATATATATATATATATATATATATATAAACTTTTTTCCTAATAGCAAATAGAAACAAATAAAAATACATGAAAGAAAAAATATAAAAAATAAGTAAATAAAAATGAATAAAATAATATAATAATCAATCTGGAAGCCATGAAAATAAATAAACTCAAATATACACTTCCTCCTAGCACCCATGCACCATAAGTAAGCAAAATAGAGGTCAGGCGCATAAAAAACCTTCAGCATTTACTCTAAACAACAAGATATTTAGATGGTATAATAACTGAATCCCTCTCCATAGGTTTTCCAGATACTTGTGGAATCAATATCATGTTTAGTTCTTCATAATATTATACACTTTAGCCCATCATCAGAGTGTGTGTATATATATATATATATATATATATATATATATATATAAACAAACCTAGAAATAATATAAAATATATATATATAAACAAACCTAGAAATAATATAAAATACACAAATAATAAATCATTTATATATATATATATATATATATATATATATATATAGTGTTAATTTTAAAGACTGTTTTTAAAGCCAAAATTGCTGGTTTTACAGTGGTTTGCTGATAAGGAGACATTTGAGGCAAGCTGGCTTTGTGGTAGAGTGCTCAGTATCGAAGATAAAGCATTAATAGAATTAAAATGAAATGTTTTTTCACTTAACTCATGTTTACTTCAAAGTTTTGTGGTGACATATATGTGATCACTCGTCAAAACAGAGTTAAACTGCTGATATCTCTCGATTCTTTTGCACTTTTATTGTGGTGTGAGTGTGTTATTTTTCTTTTCACATGATGAGTGTTGATTGGTTGTTGACTCCTCTTCCTTTCCCTTCCTTTCTTTTGTCTTTTTTCTTTTATACTTTCCTCACCTTCTCCATATTGATCTGTAGTTTATTGATATTGTTTTGAATATATGTAACCCACTATATATACAGCTCCCTAAAGGAGTAGTGGAACTAGGTCCAAAAATAACATTGAAGCATGAAAATTACAGTTGATTCCTGTATCCTCACTCTCTATATCACACACACACACACACACACACACACACACACACATATATATATATATATATATATATATATATATATATGTTTCGGCAGCAATTAGTGATCCAAACATGGTGTGTCTGTTTAATTTTGAATAAGATGCTGTAAGTTAGAAGTGAAATTACAAATAAATTGTCTGAAAATTCATATTAGTTCAGTCAGTTTCAAGAATCATGTGCTGTCTGTGTAGTAGGTAGTTGGCTGCATGCTGATATTCTTTAAAAACTCGAAAGTTTAAAATGAACTGCAGCTTCAATTTTTCTCCTATATGGATAAATTCATTGAAACACATTTTCTTTAATAAAGTGTGTTGATCAATATCCCTCTCAGTAATCCTTTTTCTTTCTTTCAACAAATCTTGTACACAACGGTTTTGTAGAACACTGGCTTTTCAATGCACACACCTCAATATATCTTTTGTTCTTTCTCACTTTTCTAAAATCTCTCTCTCTCTCTCTCTTTCTTGACTGCTTCCAATGTTTCTCTCTTCATTTCTTCAGAAATCATTTTACATTCTTCTCTCTTTTTTTTCCTTTATTTCATTTCATGCTTATTTTTTTTGATATCTTTTATATTCTTCTCTCAACATGTTCCTCTCTTCATCACTTTTCATCCTTTTTTTTAGTTTCTCTTTCTTGATCTCTTTTTTTTTCTTTTTATCTTTCATTGTTTTTAACTCTTTTTACCCACTCTCTTGAACTAACTGTTAATTTGATTACTTTTTCTTCATCTCTATTCATCCCTCTTTCTGTTAGGCAGTTTTGACTTCTTTTTTTTTTCTCTTGATCAGTATCCCTCTCAGTAATCCTTTTTCTTTCTTTCAACATATCTTCCTCTTTTATTTCATTTTCTATCCCTCTTTAGATTTCACTCTCGTTATCTCCTTCATACAGTTTCTCACTTCTTTTTTCATTCATTTGTCAAGATCTTTCTCTTTCTTTTCCCAATATCTCACTCATTTTTCTCTTTCACTCTTTATTTACATTCCTTCTTATTCATTCTTTGTTGATCTCTAAATATTTTCTCTCTGACACATCTACATTCTCTCTCATGCTCTTTTATTATTATTATTATTATTATTATTATTAATATTAACTCTTAAATGTCTTCCTCTCTTCTCTATTTAAATTTTGAAGGTGGAATGATTTCTGCATGTGGAATTTATATGGTCTCAAGAATTTTATTGGATTTTTAGTTGATATGAACTAAACTTGAATAGGTATTCAGATGAATAAAGTAACACTAGGCAGACTAACAAATAAAAGTTGAACTAGTTATTAACCATTGGTATGACCCAAGATGACAGCTACAAATTAGAGATATCAAAATCAAGTAACTACAGAAATATTTAAGAGACAATGGAGAATGTGACACAGAAATCCAAAGAAAGGGTGAAAAATAGGTTTCAAAAGCTAAGCAAAGTATTAAGAAACAAGAAAATTTTGTTAGAAGCAAAGAAAAGAATCTTGCATTTCTGTGTAATATTAATCCTCCTATATAACAGTGAATGCAAGAGAATTTCCTACCAGATGAAGAAAAGATTTGATGCAACATTTGAATCTGAAAGAGGCAACTGAAATTTCTGGGAGACATAATGAGGAAAGAAGGTTTTGAGAGTTTGAAACTTACAAGATATACTGAAAGCAAGAAGGGTAGAGGGAAATAGCATGTAACCTATTTAATGGGCTTATATAAAAGGATAGCACAGCAGGGACTTGAATTTTTCCCCTATATGGATGAATTCATTGAAACACATTTTCTTTAAGTATGGATTTTATAAGTATTGGTGATAAAGTAATAAATTGTGTTTGATGTATGTTTGTGGTTGGTAAAATATTCATCAAGACTCCCTCTAAGTATTTTAAATTATGTTCTTGTCTAACTTAATAAATGCCACCCTAAGTAGAAAAGAATCTGTCTGACTATAACCATATCTGATGTAACTTAAAAACATCCCACAGTCAACACACACACACACATATATATATATATATATATATATCATCAACTGAATCCTGCATCGACCAAATGCATGTGAATTAGATACATGAATGATGCTTGATAGGACAGATACACATGATGTCTGCTTAACTGATGAAAAACTAATACAAAAATAAAAATATTAGAATTTTCTTTTCTTCTCCATATTTCATATTTTGATGAAGTTTAAATATATATATAATATTAAATAAGAATATATATATATTTTTCAATTGTATTATATATTTTTCATATATATATATATATATATATATATACAGTGGGGGGAAATAAATATTCGTACACTTGAAAAATTGTATTTTTATAAATGTAAAAGCCTTAACTAAAACAAATTTTGATACATTTTATGTGTAAAGATACATTTTATCAAAAAATAGTAATAAACTTAATTCTTATTTTAAAAGAAATTAATGCATTTTTTTTTAATTCTAACTGATGAAAAAAGTATTTGTACAAATCAATTATTAGAATACAATAATCAACTTGCCAACTGTAAAGTTTGGTGGTGGCAGTATCATGATCTGGGGCTGTTTTTCTGCAAAAGGTGTTGGCAGAATATCAATAATAGATGGCAAGATGAATGCCAAAAGCTACCAGAAAATCCTGCAAGACAATTTAATGCATTCTGTTGAGAGACTTCGGCTACCTCCTGATTGGGTTTTCCAACTGGATAATGATCCTAAGCATACCGTTAGATCTACAAGGAAATGGTTAGCTGAAAGTAACGTTGATGTCTTGCAATGGCCAAGTCAGTCCTTAGACTTGAACCGAATCGAGAATTTATGGCAATATTTGAAAATTCAAATTGGGAAAAGAGCACCAACAAATATCAAGAATTTGAAGACAATATGCCAAGAAGTATGGGACAAAATACCACTCAATGTGTGCAAATCATTAGTTGAGACGTACAGGAATAGACTGGTAGCTGTTGAACTCAATACAGGATATTCCACAAAGTATTAAGTTAATATGCTTTTTTTGTTTTCTACGAATAATTTTTCATCAGTTAAAATGAAAAAAAATGCATTAATTTCTGTTAGAATAAGAATTAATTAAGTTTATTACTATTTTTTGATAAAATGTATCTTTACACATAAAATGTATCAACATTTGTTTTAGTTAAGGCTTTTACATTTATAAAAATACAATTTTTCAAGTGTATGAATATTTATTTCCCCCCACTGTATATATGTGTGTACGTGTATGTTATGCTAAGCATCATTTATAAATATATGCATCTGTCTCTCTCTCTCTCTCTCTCTATATATATATATATATATATATATATATATATATCGAGAGAGAGAGAGAGAGAATAGAGAGAGAGATAGTTATATGTGTGTGTGCATATTTTATATGTAAGCATCTATCTTCTCAATCTGAAATATTATAAGTATATGTATGCATAACTGCTTTCTCTGATATATGTATACATATGTTGTTTTTCATCGATGTATCTATTCTTATTTCATTATATATGAGTATATACATTTACTCTGGTGAATATAAGTATATAAATTTACTATAGTCCACACATATATATATATATATATATATATATATAAAATGTGCCTATTTTATACATGTAAATATGTATATCAACCAGAGTATTTCTTCTATTTTCAGCTTTGTCTGTCTTTACATGTGCTTTTTGTTTTTTCCTTTTCTTTCTCATTTTTGCTTTCTTTCTTCCTTTTTAATTTTTCTTTCCTCTTCCTTTTACCCATATTTTTTCTCCTTCCTGTTCTTCTTCATTAATTATTTTCTGTCACTTGATTTTCATTCCTCTCTTTCTCAAATTCTCCTCCTGCTAAAAAGCTTCACATTTCACATTCTTTACATGTCTTCTCTTATTTTGTCTTATATTTTCTTAATTCTTTTTTTTTTTTTTGCTTTCTTCTTTGACAGCTAAAGCTTCTTATTCTCCTATGTCAGGATATTTTGTTGCTTTCTTCTACATTGTTCTTTCTCTTCTTTGCATCCATCTTTGCATTCAATCTTCTTTTCTTCTTCAATATAATGTCATCTTTCTCTTCTCTTCTCTGTTTCTGTTTCTTCTTCTTCTTCTTCTTCTTCTTCTTCTTCTTCTTCTTCTTCTTCTTCTTCTGTATCATTTTTTGCCCTTTTCAAATTTATTCTTATCTTTTCTTCACTAATTCTTACCATTTCTCAAGAAAGCCACAAAAGTATGAATAAAACTACCATAATTTCTTGACTATTAAAAAAAATTTGCCAACCACCCAATATTGAAACTTGAGTAGTTCCAGTTCCAGTAAGCAGCTTACCATAATCTGGTGACTCTGGAATTGTAGAAAAACATCCATTACACATGGTGCAAATGGATAAGCAGAGGGACATGGCTGTCGTTGCCACTGCAGCAGATTTTGTTTCTTGTACACAACAGTTTTGTAGAACACTGGCTTTTCAATGCACACACCTCAATATATCTTTTGTTCTTTCTCACTTTTCTAAAATCTCTCTCTCTCTCTCTCTTTCTTGACTGCTTCCAATGTTTCTCTCTTCATTTCTTCAGAAATCATTTTACATTCTTCTCTCTTTTTTTTCCTTTATTTCATTTCATGCTTATTTTTTTGATATCTTTTTATATTCTTCTCTCTCAACATGTTCCTCTCTTCATCACTTTTCATCCTTTTTTTTAGTTTCTCTTTCTTGATCTCTTTTTTTTTCTTTTTATCTTTCATTGTTTTTAACTCTTTTTACCCACTCTCTTGAACTAACTGTTAATTTGATTACTTTTTCTTCATCTCTATTCATCCCTCTTTCTGTTAGGCAGTTTTGACTTCTTTTTTTTTTCTCTTGATCAGTATCCCTCTCAGTAATCCTTTTTCTTTCTTTCAACATATTTCCCTCTTTAGATTTCACTCTCTTTATCTCCTTCATACAGTTTCTCACTTCTTTTTTCATTCATTTGTCAAGATCTTTCTCTTTCTTTTCCCAATATCTCACTCATTTTTCTCTTTCACTCTTTATTTACATTCCTTCTTATTCATTCTTTGTTGATCTCTAAATATTTTCTCTCTGTCACATCTACATTCTCTCTCATGCTCTTTTATTATTATTATTATTATTAACTCTTAAATGTCTTTCTCTCTTCTCTATTTAAATTTTGAAGGTGGGATGATTTCTGCATGTGGAATTTATATGGTCTCAAGAATTTTATTGGATTTTTAGTTGATATGAACTAAACTTGAATAGGTATTCAGATGAATAAAGTAACACTAGGCAGACTAACAAATAAAAGTTGAACTAGTTATTAACCATTGGTATGACCCAAGATGCCAGCTACAAATTAGAGATATCAAAATCAAGTAACTACAGAAATATTTAAGAGACAATGGAGAATGTGACACAGAAATCCAAAGAAAGAGTGAAAAATAGGTTTCAAAAGCTAAGCAAAGTATTAAGAAACAAGAAAATTTTGTTAGAAACAAGAAAATTTTGTTAGAAACAAAGAAAAGAGTCTGGCATTTCTGTGTAATATTAATCCTCCTATATAACAGTGAATGCAAAGAATTTCCTCCCAGATAAAGAAAACTAGAGGCAACTGAAATTTCTGGGAGACATAATGAGGAAAGAAGGTTTTGAGAGTTTGAAACTTACAAGATATACTGAAAGCAAGAAGGGTAGAGGGAAATAGCATGTAACCTATTTAATGGGCTTATATAAATGGATAGCAGAACAGGGACTTAGATACATAAAGAGGCAAACATTACTTTGCACTACAAAGAATACAAAATTTGTCAAGAGCTATGATCATCCTTGTCGTCAAAGTACATCTATAAAAGATGACAGTTACAGTTTTCATGTGAACACAAGTCACTACCATTTTAAAAAATAAAAAACGTTCCTTTCAGATCCACTAAAAATAATGTTTGAAGTAATAAAATATCTAAATGAAAATAAATTCTTTAATTCTTTAGAAAATATATATATATATATATATATATATATATATATAACAACTGCACACGTTACACCTTACATATATAACAAAATTCTATTGCGTGTCACTACACTCACCAGTTCTATGAAACTTATCATTTGTCTCTATTTACTCTGATGATGACTTAAGAAAGTTGAAAGCATGGATCATATTGCATGGTCCATGTCAAAGTTTATCATTTTTGATACAACGGTAGATTCTGGTATTTCTGGATTATGATGTTCCTTCAGGCAAAGAGTCTTTGTAATTATAGTTCTTAATATTGAGAGATAATGCAAATTATTTGAATTTGTTTTTTATTAAATGAAACTAAAATCTTTTAAGAAAAACAAATTCAAATAAGTTTATACCATAACTTAGAAATTCTTTTAAGAATAATACAATATATGAAAATAAATAAAAAATACTTCTCTCTCCTGATGAGTGGATTTCAAAATCTGCAAAACTCTCTAGATAGGTAAATATGTTATTTATTATTATTATTATTATTATTATATATCTTCACTTTTCCAAGTCTACCGCCGATGTGCTCATGGCCATAAATGAATTTGTATACCAAGCTCTTGATAATAATGGCAAAGCCTGAGCCATAGCTCTAGATATCTCTAAGGCATTTGTTAGAGTTTAGCATGCCAGCCTTCTTCATAAGCTTCATGGATACAGTATTACAGGATGATTATTTGATTTAATACACTCATTCCTATCAAACCATGAAATTAAGGTCCTCCTAAACATTTTCTCCCCCAGTTCCTTTCGTACAAACACTGGTTTTCCCCAAGGCCCTATCCTGAGTCCTACATTATTTCTGATCTTCCTGATGTCATCAGTTCCCAAGTAGACATCTACGCAGACGACACTACGATTTACACCTGTCTCAATAGAAAATCTGGCATTGCTAACAAAACTAACCTGGCTGCTGGTCTCAAAAAGGACCCCCAATCTGTGGTTGACCGGGGCAGGAAATGGCTTGTAAACTTGAATGCCTCCTAAATGAAACTGCTCTCATTTACCCATCATAGAAAAACCTCCCTGCCTTTTATCAGCTTGGATGATACCCAACTCCACGAGAGCGTCTCTTTGCATCTTCTTGTCTCACATTTTCCACTAATCTGAGGTGGAACAACTACATTGAATCAATAGCTTCATCTACTGCAAGAAAAGTTGGTTTTCTGTGTTGTGTTAGAAGGTTTTACTTGCCTGAGTCCATCCTTCAAAGCTACCATTCATTTTTGCATGGAATATTGTTGCCATATATAGTCTGGTGCCCTTGCTGTTGATCTCGAAGTCATGGACAGATATGCAGTGTGATAGGTTCTGATCTGGCATCTCGTCTACAGTCACTTTCTCACAGATGTGATGTGGCTTCCCTCTGTCTTTTGTACAAATATTTTCATGGCAACTGCCCTGACGAGCTATTTTCACTGGTTCCCCTACTGCATGAATTTAAGTGTGCTACCAGATTGGCATTTCAGTCTCACCCTTTCACTGTCAAACCAGTTAAATGTAACCACCTCTTCTACTCCAACAGCTTCTTCTCTCGCACTTCCCTCCAGTGGAACTCCTGTCCTCCTACTTGTTTCCCTGATAGCTATAATCTTCAAATATTCAAATGTAATGTCAATTGACATCTTCTGATGCCTTGATACTGATTCTCATCCTTCTCTATATCCTTTCCTCAAACACCCCTCTTTATTCTTGATCTCACTCTTTGTAACCCCTTGCATGCTAGTGGTACTCCCTCCTTGCTTGGGATGAAATGTTTAAAAGAAAATAAAAATATCACTTCAAACATTATTTTTATTGGATGCCCATATTTGAAGTAATAAACATGTTGGATTAAAAATAAATCTATTAATTCTTTAGATATCACCATATATTTATATACATGATGTGTTTTTATGTCAAGTGACTAGTTTACATATATTATCATCATCCCAATATGCATGTCATTGATATATCACTTGGTGGTATCAGAAAATTCCTTCATTAGGATCTCCTAGCAGATTCCGTTTCTGATTCCAGTCATTTGAGAAAGCTGGCAGTTGGTCATTAAAATGAGTTCACCAATTTGTTTCACATTTTCTGGCATTTTGCAGATAATATGTTGTATTGAACTGGCTCTTGACCGGCTTTGAAATACAGATGCCACTCAAAATCTGCATTTGTTTTGAATATTTCTTAAAAATCTGACAAGGGTCTCAGCTTTGCTGAGCTTGATTCAAAATTTGATGCAGACATATTGCTTGAACTTTTCATCCACTGTAAAGATTGCAGAGCCATTATGATAGAATATTACACAAAATATTGTGTGATAATTGAACTTGAGTCAATAGCATGAAACCTCTTGGCAGATTAATTCAGTATGAATTGAGTATTTACTGTACACACATTTTCTTTTGAATGGTACAATTACATGTACAGTCTTGTGGACATTTCAATAAAATCTGTTTAAATTATAAAACTGAAGAAGACCAGAGAATGAACCAGCCAAAATATCATGTAAAAAAAAACACAACAAACAAAACAATGAAGGTGAAGATGATCCAAAATAATTAATTGACATATCATCATAATTTATTTTCATTTCCTGCAGAAATAAAGTATTATTCTTCCATATTGAAAATATTATTTCTAGAGCCTAAATCTTAAAATAATCAGAGAAATACTGAAGAATAAAAGTTGTAATGTCACCTTTCAAAACTATTTCTTTATTTTAATTTTTGAAAATTTAACTGCTACCAGCACTAAACAGATTAAACAGAATTTGTAAACATGTTTGTAGTTGATGCACAATGAACACAACAGCCATATAATTGAGAATAAAGATTCTCACAGAGGAATAATAAAAATATTCTTATTCAGTTATTGAATACAGCTGCTTGAAAAGTGACTCTCACAATTATTGAATAAAATCAAAGTGTTCCATATTTCTGTGGAAGTTCTCACTAATATTGTTTTGTTATAAATGCTTAAATTGTATCTGGATTATTATTCTGTTTGTATGTACAGCCATTATGATATTCTATCTTACATCAGAAGTAGAAAAGCCTATCTTTTCTGGACTGGATTCAGTTATGTTTTCTAGCCAAGAAACATATCTAAGGAAGGAAAATTGAGAAAAACAGGGAAGGTAAGAATGGGGGACAATGGGTGTGAAAGAAAAAAGCTTGAGAAAAATGAAAAGAAACCAGGTAGAAGAAAAAAATAAATATATACTTATTGAAAGAAGGAGAAGATATAAAGAAATACAGTGAAGTAGAAACAGTGAGTAAAAGATGAAAAGACAAGGATGGAAAGGTATAAAAATTTATTATGCATTAAACTGCTTTATGGAAAGATAGAGCAAGAGAAAGATAAAAGTGAGGATTCAGTAGAAATTATTTATACCTTCTTTGTTCATTTTTCATGTGAGACTAATCCCTGTTTGTGAAATATTTAGGTGAAAAAACAACATGGATAATCAATGAAGATTGGAAGGGATGATAAAACAGAGGTAAAGGGTTAGTGGCATGTGATAATGGATAATCTTAGTTGTTAACATCTGTGGAATTTCCATGGGTTCAATATTTTTTATCTGATAGATTCCTTGTAGAATGTAGGGCTGCACTCACACCAAGTGACATTGCTGTGGTTTCAGTTTCAAACCACTGATTTTACTGATCCAAGTTGCTTGCTTTATGTCCATGATAGACTGCCTTCCATTGCTAAAGAGCTCCAACTGCCCTACTTTTTCCATTATTTGTTTAAGAAGTGGTTTCATGTCTATCCTGAGGGCATTAGTGTGAAATGAATGCAGCCTAGTTCAGCTATTTTTTTTTTTTTGCTAACTCTCAGGTCAACCACACTCTTCAGATCCAGTAAATTATTATTCCAGAAATTCAACTTCTTTGTTGTTTTCAGCTAACAAATTCATTTAATGCATTGCCTCTGGTAATTCATGAATAAAGACTTGAACTGGAAGTATGATCCTCAGGACCATCCATATCTAATGCTGATCTTAAAAAGAAATGGTAATCGTTAAGGTTTCTCAAAAATATTCTCAGGAAAAATTCTAATC